ATTCAAGAGGGTAGAAAAGAGGTTAGAAAAGAGGTTAGATATACCCTTCTACCCTAAAATATATTTTTGGGTCATTTACGAAGAAGTCTCAACAAAGTCTTTACGAAGAAGTCTTAACAAAGTCTTTACGAAGAAATTCATGAAAATTCAAGAGGGTAGAAATGAGGTTAGAAAAGAGGTTAGATATACCCTTCTACCCTAAAATATATTTTTGGGTCATTTACACTCATTTACGAAGAAATCTCAACAAAGTCTTTACGAAGAAGTGTCATATAAACATCTGTCAAAAACCGCTTTTTAACTTCACTTAAAATGCCACGTAAGCTACGTAAGAATATACGTAAGAGGAAGAGAGCATTGAAACATCCAATAGTAAAACTAACACCACAACAACAGTTGCAACAACAAATGCTGAATGACCCCACTATGTTGCAACAAATGTCAAGCAATCCTATGCTTTTAAACCGAGTTGTTGGTGCACAGAGTGGAGGTTTAAGAGCGGCACTTTTAGCGAAAATGGCAGGCTATGGTGGAGCTGCAGACGGAACAGCCTATAACCCTCAAAGTCAAATGAATTTGAGTTCACTCAAAAATCAAATATCAGATGTCAAAAAGTCAAACATAGACATACAGAAGCAAATAAGTGAAAACGAAAAGAAACTAGAATATGACAGACACACAAAGAAACTCAATGAGTTAAACGTAGAGAAAAAGAAGAAAGAAGAACAACTGAAAGAACTAAGTACAGAGGAATATGCGAAAAAAGTGTCAGAAAAAGCAGCAGAAGTAGCAAAAATGGAACAAGATGTCATAAATTTGAAAAACCATACTACTCAATATAAAATACTGAAAGATGAAGAGATAAAACAAAAAGCCCTGAAGACATATATGGATAGCGATGAGTATAAAAAAGAAGTTGAAGCAAATGTAAAGGCAGAAAAAACTTTTACAGTTGCAAAACCAAACCGTACAGTATGAAAACTTAGCACAAGAAAGTAAAAATAACGACGCAGCCATGCAAAAGGCAATGAAAAGCGCAGAATATATAAAAGCTAACAATGACTGGTTAGATGCCCAAGCCAACGCTAAAGCAGCCCAACTCATAGGGTCAATAAGGACAAAAATACAAGCGGATGAAGACAGTTCAAATGAAGCTTTAACGAATGCTGACTTTAAGAACGCCTTCGAAGCTCTTCATAGTAAGGTGAAACAAGTGAACGACTTCTCATCTGGAAAGAAACTGAAGTCTGAAGGTTTCGACAAAGAGTTAAGAGAAGTAGCACAAAATATGACGAAAATAACAGATGCAGCAACGAGACAGGCAGTTCAAAGTGCCTATGACGCCGTTAGAGCAACTGTTGTGAAAAGTCAAGAAAAAGAGTTACAACAGACCAAAACAGACCTAGTAAATGCTTTCTTAAAACGAAAAGTCAGGTAGGACATTACGCTGCAGATGGAACATATGTGCCAGCTGGTGGAACTTATATACCACCAAACCCTCCAAGAGAAGCACCTGCACCAGGACTACCTAGAACATTTACATCGTCACATGGACACAGACACAGGCATGCACCAAAACCAACACAACAACCAACAGTTCAAAATCCAACACAACAACCACCTCCACAACCAGCACCAAACCCAACACAACAACCAACACAACAACCAGCACAACAACCAACACAACAACCAGCACAGCAACCAACAGTTCAAAACCCTGCACAACAACAACCACAAACAGAGCAAGGACATAAAAGAAGTAGAGAACAAGGAAACCAAGAATTCTTAAAAATGCTTAAAGAAGAGTGTGGTTTCCCAGATACTGTTGACTTTAGTGACAGATATAAAGAAGCTATTGGAAAGTTCAAGGATGGAAATACTGACCCGAACCTATTTAGCTTTATGGCTCAGCACCAAAACGGATATAATCTCAAACCTGGAAAATACAAGCTCGCTAAGGGATATGATTTAATAGCATATCATCCAAATGACATGAATGAATTTACTCCGAGATATTTGATGTCAGAGCTAAATGACAATTCAACTTTCGTCATGAAACGCGTAAAAATAGAGACGGAACGAAAGAACAAAGCTTATGAATGCGGATGACGTAGATAGGGAAATTGTTGAAAACGGTCTCGGAATATATGAAATGCCAGCAGATGAGGTACAAGAAACTCCACAGGAAGAAGTTCAGATACAACCAGACATGGAAGAAATAGTTCAGCAACAACAGCTAGAAGAGCCTGAAGGAAACGAACAAGTCACTCCTTTGGAAACTAACTTCACAGAACTAGATGAAGATTTGGAACAGCCGAAAAATCTTGACCCTCAACAAGTGTATGCGGAGAATATGGAATCTTTCCAAGAGTCTAAGAAAAATTCGGCTGACATAGTAGAAGAATATCGAAAAATGTTCGCCGACATACAAAAGACTCCAGCACCAGATGAAAATATTCAGCATAGAATGGAAGCACTGAAAGAAAATGTACACAAATACAACAACCCTTTTTACTTACGAGCATTTAACGTTCAATCTTCGGATGAACTCGGTGAAAATAAAAGGTTAAATTTCAACAAAACATATAGAAATGAAACATTGTTTAAAGTTCATTCAGAACCTAACCAATATGGAAACAAACCTACTTTTGTTTCTGCAGACTATGGAACTACAATGAGATGGGGTCATAAAGCTAATCCGGATAGGTGGTTCATAAACTTACAACCTCAATTCCAAGAAGTTGTAGACGCAATGGAAGAGAATGGTGAACCAGATATAGCTGGTATTTTCAGCGCGGCTTTAATGCCATTGAAAGATATGAAACATGCAGATATTTTGGACCAGTATGAAATGAACATGGCTGATGGAAATATAACACCTGACGTTCTAGAACATTTATCTCAAAGAACTACACAGAACCATAGAGATGGTATATTTGGTGAAGAGTTTAGAAAGAAAGTTATGGACAGAGAAGGAAGAGAACCTATTGTACATGACCTTGCAAACGAAAGTTTACAAAATGTCATAAAAACTTACTTTGCAGACAATGAACCGAGAAGGGATGAATATTTAAGAAAACTCAAATGGACAGTACCAAATGAAATGTTAGTATTGAAAAACATGTTCCTTGACAAAATAAAACCAACTACAGAAATAAACGACGCAAGACTGAAAGATTGGGTAGAAGCTTTCCCATTCACAAAAGATATTGTTGGTAACATGGAAAGAAAACCAGAATGGCTACAAAAACATATATTTGGAAACGAGCATATTCCATATGGACAGGCACTGTTTGAAGAGCTTGAACCGGAAACTCAGGAAAGAGTCATGCAAACAATACGCGAAGACTCAAATACAGACTATGACAAACTCTTTCTAGGATATAGGTTACCTGAGATGGGCGACCAGAGCCAAAAGGCAAAAAGGACATGGGAAATTTGCAACATACTAGATGAACATGAGGCAAAGATGCAACAACTTCAAGCAGAGGGCAATGAAGGAAAAAGAAGAGTTAAAAACTCAGTCAGGAAGAAAGTAAAGCTTGGTCGGAGTGGGTTCTATTATGACATATAAATCCAACTATTCTATATTTTTACTCATATGAAATGTACGCCGCTCAGAATATAACGCCAACAGTTTTGGATGCCATGAATGGAAATGTTCCGAATGGTATAAACGAATGCGACAATGCCATTAGAAGGTCAGAAATAGTTCCTGGAACTTACGAATATACAACTGCTGTTTCTTATGGAAACGTAGGTGAGTTTGGAGAAGGTTCTTCAACAACAGTAGATATTGCTTGCGACAGGTTTCATATAATTTCTATTGACAACTCTTTCTTATACGTGGAACAAGACATTGAAATAAAACCTTCTGCCAAGTTGTCTGACAAGAAAGGTTGCAATGGAATTTTCTATGTCGGATACCAATATGCTCCAGAAGTTTTCATGGGATATAAGATATATTCTAACTCTGACTTAGTTCAAACAGTAACATGGGCAAACTATGAATGGTTCGCTTTAAGAAACTCAGTACAACCACAAGCTAGAGAACAAACAGACCAGTATGCAACTATTGAGAAAATAAGAAGACTTGACCCTAACGTTCCAGGAGTTTATGTTAACCTTTCTGGTTCAGATGGAAATGCTGTCACTAAAGTAAAACTGAAACTTAGAGTTCCTTTGTCATCTTTCCTCATCTTCAGGTTTTTAAGATACTTGCCAAACTGGGCAGGAAAAATTTCTATTGAACTTACTCCAAGCAAAAATAACTTAGTCATTGCACCAACACAAGACCCATTCACTATTACAGAAGTAGTGGGAACAAATAAAATGTCATTCGCCGACTTTTGCAAAGACAAAGTTGACTTAGACTTTGGTTTCTCAAACCTCAACACTGAAGTAAACTATTATTTCAATGCTGCTGGAACTGCTTGGGACCCAGTTAAGTTTACATGCGAAAAGTTTGAATGCAAGAGAATAGAAAGCAGACTTGCAGTCTATATGTTGGACCCAGATATTTCAAATGCTTTAGCTGCCAAATATATTGCAGTTCCACTTATGTTCCCTATACACCAAATATCTGTCAAAGACTTTGCAGGTGAAGTTGGAAACCAAAGTGCTGACCCAGGTGCAAGAACAGATATTGCTTTAACAACTGCAATGAAACATGCAGATACTATGTTTGTACTGTTCAGACGAACTATAAATGACTATTCTTGTTTCTACAACCCTGGTATTAAATATCATATAAACATAGATGGCAAAATATCCAAGAGAAGAATATTCTACAGTTGAGGATATGAGGTCATACAACTTGACATTAGATGCTATGAACTTTAACAACAACTTCACAACAACCATTAACACCTGAAATGCAAAGTTCTATTATGCATATGTGAAAAGTATGGACTCATACAGGAGGTCAAAAAACTCAATATACAAATGGAGACCGTTCAAACTTTTGGCTTGGCATTCCATTTGCTGACTCAGAAGACTTTATGGGTGGTATTTCAACTGTTGGTACTGTACAAATACAATATACTGGTGACAGAGACGGTCCAGATGAATTGAAAGCAAAGAAGTTTACAAAACCAATAGCACTTTTCACGGAAGATGCTCTTTTGAAGATTCGTTCGATGAAACCTGCTGGGGCTCCTCAGATTGGCATAACGACAGCTTCCATCGAGCAGATTTTGGCAGCAGGTCAGTAAGTTGTTCTTGAACTGACTTCTCTCCGTCAAATATTGACAGTACGCCAGTTTTGACATAATATTGTATTATAAACTTTCCTTTAGAAATATCGGTCAGTTTTGTTGTTATATTTTTGTCAACGTCAAGAACTTTCACCATTTCAGTTATACCAACTTTCTTTGCTTTATGGAAATATTTTGGTTCAGCAAAGACTGCTATTCTATAACATTTACCATTGTTTGTATAAAGAACTATTCTGTCAATGTATTTGTATTGTTGTGTGTGTAAACTTTGTTCTGCTTCAATTCGAAGAGATACTCGAATACGTCCATCTTTTTATTCTAAGTAAAATGTCATTTCCGAAAAATAGAAGCGTAAGTGTTTCAAAAGGTTTAATGGCGGTGGCAGATGTGAAGTTAAATTCACCAACTCAAACAAACAGTCAAAGTGTTATTGTCAATGTCAAAGACAGAGATGTTGAAGTGGGGAAACCATACGAGGACGAAGATGGTATAACAATTGTTCCTGTAAAAGAACAACCAACATATCCTGAAGTTAGCAGAGACTTAAGTTCTGTTGCAGATATTCGAAACGACTACCAACAACTGAAAGACAAACTTCAAACTCAGGAGAAGATTTGTCAAGCTTTAAGTATAATGTTAAACTTGGTCGAACACAACCCTGTAAAAGTGAACTCATATGTCATTGCACTCATGAAGTTTTGAAAGAACTATTGAAACTTTTGACAGAGGCAGACGATATAAACATCAAAGAAATAGAACCCGACATTGCTTGCTGTGGTGTTTCATATAATGTCATTGACAAATATACGTTATGAAAGGAGGTGAAACGTTGAACTTAAAGTATAGTTTCCCAGACGTCATAAAAATATTTGACGACCACAACATTTCATTAAAATTTATTTGCTAAGTAAATGGCAGAAGACATAGTGGTTTATACTATTACGACTAAAAACCCTGAGTCATATAATTCTATAACAACAAACTTACAAAGTCCTCAAGGACGATATTGTAAACTAACCTTAAACACATTGACGACTAAAGCCTGTTTTGCTCTTTTGACACCAGAAGACTTGTTGTTGTGAATGGTAAAAAATACTTCTTTGAAGATACTTACTCAGATATACCACCAAAGGTTTTTGTTGACTTATTTAATACTTTAAGGACGGATGTAACATGTGCTGCAACTAGAACAGGTTTCATTATGTTTGGATGTCCGACTGAGTTTACTATAAACGATATGAGCTATAATACAAAACTTATATCTGGTTTTTACTACCAACAGTTTCCTATAACAGGAAAAGGTGTCATACAAGGTCTATCTGTTTCCATTGACTTTAAGTACACCTATTTTATATATTGTTTCAAACTTAGGTTCAAAGTGTTATTCGAATGTCGACAGAACTACTATGACCAAAAGATACTCATGCGTATAAACAACACTTTCTCTGCTGGTTTGCCTATTGTTCATTCGAATGCAGAGTTTTCAGCTTTAGTGAACTCAAACACTTTAGCAAACATAAACTTAACCTAGTTTGACGCAAACTTTGTTCCTGTAAAACTTTTATGTCCTATGTATTTGTCAATGGTCTTTGTACATTACCAACCTCTCAAACCAGGAGCAAATTTTTACGATTTTCATGTGTTTTATGCAAGGCCGAGAATTCTCGGTCTCAGGAAATTTCACTCAAAAGTTCTTGTTGTGGCTCTTGGTTTTTTGAACCAGTCGTCTGCGTGTTTAGTGTCTGGAGCAAAACAAGCCGTCAAAATACTTTGCATTGGTACATGTCATCTTTGACCGACGAATGAGACGTAACTGTTTGTTAAACTGAACCCACTCGTATTCTTTCACTTATGGCTTCATGAACGATAGAGTGTTTGTTTCTGTTTTTGTTGTCATATGTCTTTACATACAAAATAAAAAAAAATATTTTATAAAAACTAGCGTTATTTTCTATCTTGTATAAAAGACCAAAAAATAAACGCTTACATGTATTTTTTCAGCAACTTCGTCAAATAATTTTATAGCTTTGTCGATCTCATCTACTTCAACGTTCTTTACCTCTCGTGGGAGCACCATACATTTTCTCAAACTTTTCCAGTAGTTCTGTTTCAGCAGCTCTCATATGTTAACAAACGCAACCTTAACTCTATTGACTATACTGTCATATCTTTGAGTTATATTAAATGTTCTTCCTATCTATATATATCTCTTTGTATTGAAGTCCTTCGGTTTCTGAACGATGTAAAGTAAGCCTTCACTGCAACGTTTCCGTATCGAATGAACCATAATGTTATGAAATTATATCCAACAAAACTGGTCAATCCAGAACAAAACTACTGTATAAGACTTTTGTCGATGAGATATGCTCTGTTCCATTGAATCTTACCGATATCATAAGCTCAGGATTTTTTGTCAAAATTTTCTGATGTAGAAGCATTTTTAACCAGTATGTGTGCTTTCTTTCCTTCAGATAGTGTTAAAATGTCTGACAAAGAATATTTTTTGTATTTCTTTGAGTATCTTACGTTTAAATCACTATTCTAACCACTTTGGTCTCATTGTCTATCTTTCTAACTGTTTCAAACTCAGTGCTTGTCATTTCCTGTTCTTACATACAAAATAAAAAAAATATTTTATAAAAACTAACGTTAGTTTTTCTATCTTGTATAAAAAGATATGATTCAGGATTTTTTTGACGAAGTGTCAAAGTTCTCTTCGTCAAAAAAATACAGTTATATCATGAAATTTGGTCATTTTTTTACGATTTTCATGAGTTTTAGGCGACCCCGGTTTTTTCCCTACTCGCATTTTTTTACGATTTTCATGAGTTTTAGGCGACTACGGTTTTTTCCGTAGTCGCAATTTTTCACGATTTTCATGAGTTTTAGGCGACTACGGTTTTTCTCCCACTCGCAATTTTTCACGATTTTCATAGAGTTTTTTTACGATTTTCGTACGGAATCTCGACCCTCGGTTTTCCGAGGGTCGCAAATTCTTGCGATTTTCGTACGGAATCTCGACCCGCGGTTTTCCTTGGGTCGCAAACATATGAGGAAATTCATGAAATTTGGTCATTTTTTCACTGTTTTCGTACGGAATCTCTACCCCGGGAAAAGTCGGGGTAGCAAACATATGAGGAAATTCATGAAATTTGGTCATTTTTTTCAGCAAAAATATATTTTAGGTGGAACCAGGTCCCTCGGTCAACTAACATCTTTTTGGAAAATGGTGACAACATGAATTTTGCAACAAAACACAGGAAATAGACTTCTTCGTATATGCTTTGGTCAAGACTTTCATCGTCAATGAGCGTAAATCAGACAAAAATATATTTTAGGTGAAGAGGTGAGATCTCACTCTTTTCTCACCCCATATGTCCTTACTGAAAAAGTACGTTTCCATATGTCATTTTACTCAGAATTCAATAAAAATATATTTGGTGAAGAGGTGAGAATCTCACCTGTTTTTCTCACCCTTTTCTCCTTCGTAAACTTTGTTGAGGACTCTTCGTAAAGACTTTGTTGAGACTCGCTTCGTAAAGACTTTGGTTAGATTTCTAAAGACTTGCATCTAAATTCGATCAACCCTAGTCAGCTATATTTTGGTGTGTGTAAATTTCTGAAAATTCAAGAGGGTAGAATAAAGAGGGTAGAAAACGGGGTAGATATTACCCCTTCTACATAAAATTATTTTGGTGTAAATTTCATGAAAAATTCAGAGGTAAAAAGAGGGTAGAAAACGGGGTAGATAGATACCTTCTACCCTAAAATTATATTTTGGGTCATTTACATCATCGAACTTTCTTGTCTATGTTTTGTTAAGATTCTCTTCGTAAAGACTTTGTTAAGACGTTCTTCGTAAGACTTTGTTAAGACTTCTTCGTTAAATGTTTTGTTAAGACTTCTTCGTAAAGAACTTTGTCAAGACTTCTTCGTAAATGTTTTGTTAAGATTCTTCGTAAAATGTTTTTGTTAGACCTTCTTCGTAAATGTTTTGTTTAAGACTTTTCGTAAATGTTTGTTAAGACTTCATATACTAACATCTTCAGGGCTAGAAGCACGAGTGCCTGGAAGCCCCACTACCCTTTTTTTTTTTTTTTTTTTTTTTTCATCTTATATAAAAACATGCAGCAATAAGGATGTATATTAAAATATTATTTCGAATTGGGGTAATAAATCGTTAGATCTTAGATTTTATTAATCATATTCTCTTCTTAAAATGGACTGTGGTAATGGTAACTGTGTATGAGAGTTGGAGTATTGTTAAATTGGCGAATGTTATATTTCAAAACGATTGTAGTATGTTCAAAGTATAATTAGAAATTTAATGAAATATGATAACATGGACTGTAAATAATCGATTTTTTGTGATGATGAAAAATCATATCAATATTTACAATTTTCGGGTTTTTTGACTGATAAGCAATTGCTTTGGAACACCTAGAAATTGAAGTTCTCCTTGGTGAATTTCTCCAAATTTTTTCCATTTTAGAAAAAGTCCTAAGCAATTTTCTAGAAAAATTATATACGTTTTTTTTTTCAATTCTCTTAAATCTTTTTTTGGAAAAACGAGGTTAATTTTTTTTGAAATTTATATTTAGAGAGAAAATAAACCCATTTTCATTGTGTTACAAAATCGATAAAACATTTTTTATTTTTTGTTATTCTATAATTTTTTCTACTTAAAATTGTGTCCAATTGTAATGGGCAAAATCATATAAACTATTTTCAAAGTTATAGAAAAGGAAGTATATATTTCCAAAAATTATAAAATCGTCATAGTTACTATCAAATCAATATATTATTCTATATAGGACAACTATCTATTGTTAGTAATTTAAAATTATTTCTGGTTCAAATTAAAGGATTTATCTTCACAATCTTTAGAAACTATTGTAAATAATCTAGAAAACAATCAATAATATCATGATTTTATTCACGAATGAAGTTCAGATATATGATTGTATTGATTTTCGATAAATAAATCGAAATCAAAT